GCTGATGCCTGAGCTCTGACACCTAAGGGGAGGCTGGGGGTGGGGTGGGGCAGGCATTCACCTCTGCCCAGCTGTTCCTGCCCTGGGCGGGGGCGGTACCTGGGAGGTGTCATACTGAGGGCTTTGTTTCTGGCTCCCACTTCTGTCTGGTGGGTCTGTGTGTCTGTGTTGGTGCGGGTGCCGCACTGCACGGGATGTTGGTGCCTGAGCAGCGGGGACCACACGGGGACCTCAGCAGGGAGCTCAGACCTGGTGAGAACAGCTGGGGGGAGGGGGAGGCCAGCCCCGGGGGCGTGGCCTGTGAGGGCGTGGCCTGCGAGGGCCGGGCCTTGATCTGGGGGACATCCCCTGCAGCACAGGCAGTGCCACCCCAGTGGCTGCCACCCCAGTGCCACCCAGGGCCAGGAGGAGGCGGGAAGGATGTGAGCAGCCCCTTGTTGGAGGGCCCAGGGCAGCTGCCTCTTACAACACTCCTTCTTTGTTTTAAACAATAAAAGATTTAAAAACAAAATAGCCTTCATCAGAAATAAGAGAAACATGGCATCTTAGATAAAACTTTCGTATTGTAATGAACTCTTGCTCTTTAGGCCTCGGGAACAAAATGTATGACTTTTATCTCTGAACTGAAAAACGCGAGCTCTTTCACTGGTCCTGGCTGTGCTGACCTGGGTGGGCGGAGCCGTCCTGGAGGGCTGTTGGCGTAGGGGCGTGCTGTTCAATTGCTGGTCAGGGCCCATGAGGTCACCTCGAGTGAGGGCACAGCCTGGCACGTGGGGTCTTGCCGCCAGGACAGGGGTGCAGAACGGCAGCGTGCTTTCTGAGGCATCTGTGGTGTGCTTCCTGCTCCGGGGGGGCGGACCTGGGAGGGCGCAGAGGCCGCTCCCACAGCTTCGATGGTCGTCCGAGAGCAGGGGCAGCATCCAGGGCGCCCAGGCCACTAGCACCTCAGAGGCGCTGCGTGAGGCACTGCGGGTAAAGGAAGCCCTAAACCTTCGGAGGGATTTCTTTATTACTTTCATTCCATTCTGCTGATTGGGATTCTACTTGCAGTTCTATTGGGGGGAAATTAATGTTCTTGGCGGGAAAATGTTTGAAACCACTCATCTGCTCATCATTTATTCACTCACTCACTCGTTCACTCACTCTCACTTGTTCACTCACTTGTTCACTCACTCGTTCACTCACTCACTCTCACTTGTTCACTCTCATTCACTCACTCACTCTCTCACTCATTCATTCACTCACTCTCACTCGTTCACTCATTCACTCACTCGTTCACTCATTCATTCCCTTGTTCACTCACTCACTCACTCACTCACTCATTTATTCACTCATTCACTCACTCACTCACTCACTCTCACTTGTTCACTCATTCACTCTCTCACTCACTCGTTCACTCACTTGTTCACTCACTCGTTCACTCACTCACTCTCACTTGTTCACTCTCATTCACTCACTCACTCTCTCACTCATTCACTCACTCACTCACTCACTCATTCATTCACTCATTCATTCACACATTCACTCACTCA